TCTGTTATTATTTTTTCAAGTAGATTTTCAATTTCTTGCCCTCTCTCTTCTCCTTCTGGTACTCCATGATGTGAATGTTGGTATGCTTGAAGTTGTCCCTCAGGCTCCTTATACTATCCTCATTTTTTTGGATTCTGTTTTCTTTTTGCTGTTTTGATTGCGTGTTTTTTGCTTCCTTATATTCCAAATCGATGGTTTGCTTCTTGGCTTCACCTACTCTACTATTGATTCCCTGTAAATTATTCTTTATTTCAATTAGTGCATTCTTCATTTCTGACTGGTCCTTTATTATGCTCCTGAGGCCTTCACAAAGTTCACTGAGCATCCTTATAAGCAGTGTTTTGAACTCTGCATCTGTTAGACTGCTTATCTCCATTTCATTTAGTTCTTTTCCTAGAGTTTTCTTCTGTTTTTTAATTTGGGACCTGTTTCTTTGTCTCCTCATTTTAGCTGCCTCCCTGTGTTTGTTTCTGTGTATTAGGTAGAGTTGCTATGTCTCCTAGGCTTCCAGGGTGGCCTGTTGTAGTAGGTGTCCTGTAGGGTCCAGTGGCACAGCCTCCCTGATCACCCAGCTAGGTCCTTGAGGTGCACCCCTTGTGTGGACTTTACATCCTTCTGTTGTAACTGAGTCTTGATTGCTGTTGGCACGTCAATGGGAAGGTTTTACTCAGGCTGATTAGCTGCAAGGACTGGCTGTGCCCACTGCCCACTGACCTCTGACTACCTTGGATGATCAGCTATGCAGGGGCCACCACACAGAGCAAGACTTACTTCAGCAGTGCTTTGGTACCCCCTGAGTCCATTCCTTGAGTGTGTCATTTGTGGAGGTGGTTGGGTGATATTGTTTCGACGTGATCTGAAGCTATCTCCTGGGTATACTGGCTCTGGAGCAAAGTCAGCCACTGCCTGTGTTCTACCCGGTGCCACCAGGCATGAGCTACAAAGTGATCTGCTGATGGCTGCTTCTTGTTCTGGGCTTGGAGGTGCCCAGGCAAAACCAAGCTGTGAACCAAGGCTGGTTGCTTCTAGTGCCAAGCCTGGGGCCACTTAACAAGAGGTATGGGGTTTGCTGTGGCCAGATGCTCTTTATTTGAGAGAATTTAGAAAAATCTGAAGCAGGAGCCAAAACAGGCCAATCCTATGGTAAAGCCAATGGAAACAGCTTGGGTGGGCCCAAAAGTTGGGTGGGGCGGGGCCTCAGGGAATCACCAGGACAGGGCAAACTGTGAGCCAGGTTGCTAGAGTCCCCGCTAGGGCTCCTGTTTGCTGCCTCCGGGAAGGGCTCACCAAAGAAACGATCTCCAACATCTCCATCATCTCATCTGTTTGGGAGTAAGCTGCCTCTCCAGTCCTCGCTCCAATGCCAAACAACTTAGTTCTTCCCCGCACGTCTCAAGTGCCTTTTAAGCTGCCTCCCCTCCTTGCTGGAGCCAGGAAGTAGCTTAGAGGGAGAGAGTCCGAGTAAGTCCGTGCCCGGGCCCTTTAAGAGGAGCTGCCTGGGGCTCCAGCCGCCTCAGCCTCCCTGAGCCTGTTTCTACTGGCTTTACAACTAGAAGTGATGGGGATTCTCTTCCTGGCACTGGGACCCTGAGCGGGCGCCTGGTATGGGATGGGGACCCCTCAGTCCTCAGGGAGGATCTTCCCAGCCGAGGTGTCCTCCTGATTTTTATCCGCCACACGTGGGTGAGGGACCAGACCGTCCCCTCCACCCTCCAACCTCCAACCAGTCTCCATGTGGCTGCCGCTTTAATTTCAGGCAGTTCGGAAGGATATTTGTTCTGTAGTTTAGTTGTAACTTTGATGTGACGCGATACCGCATTTACCTACCCGCCATCCTAACCGGAAGTCCCAATTTTCTATATTTTTGGAAACCGACTTTTATAGCATTATGTTGAGCTTATCATAGCTTATAAAATGGTATTTTGATAAAGTGATAACAGAGTAATTTACCACTATACTGTGACTTAAATTTACATTTTGAGTCTCTAAGCAAGTCTTTGGCTAGGAGCCTCGTTTCCAGCTTGCGGCCTTTCCAGTCTATCTTTGGGAAAGGCTGTCTCCTTTCAGAGCCAATCAGCTTTACAGAAATGACTGGGGTAGAGTACTTGTGGCTCTTATTTCTACAGTCAGTGGCTACTAAGTGATAAAAATAACTTTACAAGTAAAGGTTTTTGTTTTGTTTTGTTTTTAATCCTCACCAGAGGATATTTTTCCATTTATCTTTAGACAGAGTAGGAGAGAGGAAGAGAGAAAAAGAGAGAGACAGAGAGAGAGAAAGATTGATGTGTCAAATTGACTGGCTGCCTCCTGCACAACCCAGACCAGAGCCGGGACTAACCACAACTGAGGTACCTGTCCTTGGCCAGAATCGAACCTGGGTCTCATTGGTCCACGGGCCGACACTCTAACCACTGAGCCAAACTGGCCAGGGCTACAAGTAAAGATTTTAAAGTGTGGTCTCACTGCAATGTAGTTCACTCATAAATGTTTAATCAAGTTCCTCCAGACACTATTTTAGGCACTCTGGATACAATGATGAGACCAAGTTTCTGCCCTACTGAAAGGTTTATTACAGGTACGTAACACATTTGAAGGTCATCGTCAGTTTTTATTAGCAATATAAGGTATAAAACACCGTCACTTGAAAAACTTGCTATATCCATTTCAAGAGATGGTCCTAGGAGATAGTAAGGAGGAAGCATAACACCTGCGGTTGGTTCGCCACTGAGTCTGATTCTGACAGCAGATGACAAAAACCTGTCTTTTTAACAAGAACCTCAATTAATGCTGCTATAAGTGATATGAGGTCTGAACTTAAGAGAAACCCACCAGTAACTGGAGCCATTCAGAAGGGAATAATCATTTGGAATAGAAAAGCTCTACAGTGGTGGAATTTGAGCTGAGTAATAAACCCACCCCTCATGTAATTAATTAGTCCTCTGTAATTCACAAATCTAGCAAATTAAAAAGATGAGTTAAGAGTACAGGAATTTACCAACACCATCTCCTTATCGTCTTAGAGGAGACTGAAATTTGCCTCAATCTAGGCACTTGGTGAAAAGATGAACTGGAATTCTACTCCCAATATTAGAGATAAGCACTGAGAAAAAGGATATCGCTAGTCAACTTCCAAAAAAAAAAAAAATGCTAAGCAGGAGGAACATTTCAGGGAACCAACTTGCTACCACTCATTTTATGCCCTATTTCACAATGCTTAGTATCTGAACAATCCACAGGGTTCCAAAGTACATCAAAAATTTGTTCATTTCCTCTCCTACTCAGGCAGAATAATAATAGAGTTTTGTGGAGGTACCATGTGCCTCAGCAATTTCAATAAATACATTTTTAGATTTAAAAATACCTTTTAAAAAAAGCCAATCAGAAACTCCTCACTGGAGCTAATTAAAGGAGTTTTAAGTAGTTGTAATGCCATCGCTGGTGTCCCTTATTTCTCAGTTTAGATTACTTACAAGTTCCTGGGTTTTTTACAACCCTCCCACAGAAAAAAATTCAATTTTAAATACATATATATATTTATTTAAGTTACAAGCAAACACACATCAAAACAATATACATGTTTCAACTACTACAAGGAATTAAGAGATAAAACAGTTCTCAGAGACAGGTAGAAACCATTAACTTTGGGGGGGGGGGTTAAGCTTCCGCACCTTAAGTCATCTCCTAACAAAGGCATCCCAACAAACGCACGCCTATTCGAGAGGCTGCGAGTAGCACTGAACAAACCAGCTGGCCAGCTGGGTCCTGCCCCAGTTCCTGCCCTCAGATCCCGTCCACCACGGAATCCGGGAGGTCTCTGAGCCAGTCCCTCGTCTGTCCAAAGGGATTAGTAAAACGGCCTCCCCTTTGACAGCACTGAAATTTCCCAGATGCATTTATTTGCACGGTATTTGTTTTTATTGCCTACACTTTTTATTTATTGTGCTTGTTTTTATGATCTGAACGCTTCGACCACGTAACACGAGCAGGATGCCCGCAGACAAGCACAAAGACACGCATCTGTCTGGAGTGGGCATCCAGTTAGCACGTCAGGCTGGGGCTGCCTTCGGAACGGCACAGCTGAGGGCAAAGTCCTAACGGGAACTTTGTATCGAGAGGCCATGGAAAATCTGCAGACTCCAACCCAGCGGGGCCGCCGCTCATCCGCCCCTTCGAAAGCAAAGCCTCCCCGAGTGTGCATCGCAACAAAAGATGCCCGCAGGAGATGTAACCGACGAAGTTGTTCGCGCGTCCACGGGCAAACACGAGGAAAGGAAAGTGCCGCCCGCTCCTCGGCGGTTTCCCTTTCCCGGGGGTTCTGGTTGCAGTGCCCGTTCAGGCGAGCGGAGCCCTGCGGCCGGCGCCGTGCAGCAGCGCGGAGCGTGCAGAGCCGAGGAGCGGCGGACGCCGCGGACGCGCGCCGGCGGCCGGAGGTGCCATCAGTCCGCCCGGCGGCGCGATGGACCCACGGCATTGACTGCCCTTCACGGACCAGGCTGGGCCGGCACGCGAGGGAAAGGCAGAAGAGCCGGGACTCGAGGCCGGGCGCAGGCGGGCCGCGCGCTGCCGCTCCCCGCGAGCTCGGGGTCCCCGGGAGGCGGGCGGGGAGGCGAGGCTTGGCCGGCGCGCCGCGCTCCGGCGGCCGAGGGCAGCGAGGTCAGCCCAGGAGGACCGACCGCCCCCACGGCCCCCTGGGGAGGGAGGAACCCGGCTCGGCCGGCCAGGGCTGCGGGCGCCCATTCAACCCGAAGCCCGTCCGCGGCCGCCGCCCGCTCGGCCCGCCGCGGCCCCCCGGCCTCCCAGCCCCGCCAGCCGGCCGCCCCCGGGAGGATGGAGAAGGACGAGGCGAGGGGCCGCCGTGGCCGCGCCTCCCAGGCGCGCGGCAGAGGCTGAAGGGCGGCCCTCCGGACGGGAGCCCCGGGCGGCCATCGCGCCGACCCCCGCGCGGACCCCCGCCCCGCCGCCTCCGGGCTCAGGCCGCCGCCGTGCAGCCCGCTCCTCACCTCATCTCCAGGCGGGTCCGCGCTGCCGCCCCAGGGACAAATCAGTGCAGCTCACTCTCCGCGGGAAGGGACGCAGGGGCCGCAGCCCCGCACAACATCCCCGCCCGCCCGCCTCTCCGTGCGCCCCGGAGTCCGCTCGGGGCTCTCCCTCGCGAGCCGCCGTACTACGGAGCAACCAAGCTGCGCTCCCTCCCCTGTCCTCCGCTCTTCTCTACCTCCTTCGCTCCCTCCCTCGTTCCCTCGCTCCCGCCTATCTCCTCATCTCGCTCCGCGGCCGGCCCCGCCCCTATCTCCCGTCAGTCTCCGCCCACAGGTGGGTGGGACAAACAGCCTGCCAATCGCAAGAAGGGGCCCGCACCTCCTCACTGCCCCCCGCCTCTAGCACCGCCCACCTTGGGAACCAATGAAGGGGGAACCAATAAGCATGAAGAGGACGGAGTGGCAGCTCAATAAACCAATCGGCAAACCTACAAGGGGGGGCGGGCGTAAGAGTCTCCTTCCCCACCTCCCTTCCAGAAGGCGTAATCATAGGCTTCTTGTCTGGATTTCCCTGACAGGGCTTATGGAGAGTCTGCTCCACGCTTTCAGTGCATCTGTCCTTTGCCATGAGAGACACTAGTTAGGCAGCATTCACTAATCTAGTTAAGGAAGATTTTAAAGAACACCATAAAGTGGAGGCGAACAGGGAGACGGGGACTGTCCAAGGAAGGTGGGAGGGCAAAACGGTGGAATGAAAAATGGTGTGCTCTTTAACTGAAATTTGCATAAAACGCGTCCCACCCAGGTCACCACAACTTCACCCGCTTATTGGTCGCCCCGTGCGGCGCCTCGCCTCTCCTCCCGGCAGAGCATGCCGGGAGATGTAGTTCCGAGTTCGGTTGCTATGGCCTCCTCGACAGCCTCCGGGAGTCCGGGAGTGACGAGTGGCAAGACCAATGGGAGCAGCGCCTGAGCCCACGGGGGCGGGCTCTCTGCAGAAGGACTCGAAGGTGGCAGTGGCGGAGGGGCAGGCCGTTAGAGCCTCTCGAAGGCAGGTGAGTCCTGGTTAGTGTGTCGTGTGTCTTGGCAAACGCGGCTTTTGACGAAAGATGGAGAGACGTCCCGCGTAACTCTCCAGCGGTGGGGCGGACGGTGGTTCGCGCCGCACCCCAGCCTCAGATGCCTGGGGCCCGGGCCTAGCTCCCGTAGCGGAGCCGTTGAGGGGCGGGGAAGACTGGGTTTGTCTGGCGATTTCCCGGTCCTTACAGGTTTGCTCTCGGTTTGCATCTCGCTCCACATCTAAGGGAGGCAAAAGTCTGGAAGTTCCCTTCCACTGAATCTCCCAGGTTGGCTTTCCTCCACCTACCTCTTTTTGTTCCCATAATTGGGAGTTTCTTTTTCTTTCTCCCTTACTCCTTGTCGGCCACCGCTTTCTACTTCCCTTTCCTTTTTGGGAGCAGTTACCGAAATAAAGCAAGGGTGTCCGCATTTGTGGTCCTCTTGGGCTCAGCAGCGGATCCTCTGGAGCACGTGTAAGAACCACCTCCCAACACGTTGAAGTGCAGAGGCTGGTTCTGTAGGTTGGGCGGGGCCTGAGAATCTGCGTTTCTGCCGAGCCCCCAGGTGCTGCCAGAGACATTAGTCTGTCCAAATACAAAGCGAGCCACTTAACGTAATTTTAAATTTTGTGGTAGCCATATCAAAAAGCACGAAAAGGCCCAGCCAGTGTGGCTCAGTGGTTGAGCGTGGACCCTGCACCAGAAGGTCTCTGGTTCATTCCTGGTCAGGGCACATACCCAGGTTGTGGGCCCGAGCCCCAGTCGGGGGCATGGAGGAGGTGGCCAGTTGATGTTCTCGCTCATGGATGTTTCTATCTCTCTCCTTTTCCCTTCCTCTCTCTCTCAAATCAATAAAGAAAAAAAATTTTTTTGCACACCAAAAGTAACACCCAAAATTAATTTTAATGTTTTGTTTAATCCAATATATCCAAAATATTATTTTAACACATAAATATTTTAAAATTGAGATACTATGCATTCTTTTTTTCTTATTGTCTTTGAAATTTGAAAAAACGTGTGTGTGTGTGTGTGTGTGTGTGTGTGTGTGTTGGTTCATTCTCACCTGATGATATTTTTCCATTGATTCTTAGAGTGGAAGGTGAGAGAGACACATGGATTGGTTGCCTCCCACGCGCAGGGCTGGGGCTAGGGATGGAACCTGCAACCCAGGAACGTGCATTCAACCAGAAATCGAACCCAAAACCCTTCTTGGGGCTGAGGCTCTAACTGCTGAGCCAAACTGGCCAGGGCTGAAATTTGATGTATATTTCACACTTGCAGCACATCTTATTTCCAACTAGACACAGTTCAGGTGCTCCTTAGCCACCTGTGGCTAGTGGCCACCCTTACTGTATAGGGCAGATCCAGAGGATATGATTGCTCGCTGCAGAAACTAAAAAGGTGCTCAAGTTCCAGTTGCATGTGACCGTACCCTTTGAGATGAGCTTCTGATCAACTTTAGAGGTTCTCAGCTCAACTTACAGAAATAATAGTAAAAACATCCAACACTAGCCCAGCCAGTGTGGCTCAGTGGTTGAACGTTGACCCACGCACCAAGAGGTCACCAGTGCAGTTCCCAGTCAGGACACATGCCCAGTCTGTGGGCCCAATTCCCAGTGGGGGCATGCAGGAGGTGGCCAGTTGATATTCTCACTCATCGATGTTTCTATCTCTCCTTCTCCCTTCCTCTCTCTCTAAAAAATCAATTAAACAAAAATAGCCAACACTTATTGAATGCTTATTTTGTGGAGTGCTTTGCATGTATTATGTAATTCTTACAGCAGCCTTTTGTCATAACTACTACTATTATCTCTGTTTTATAGATGTGAAGGTTAAAATTAAATAGCCCAAAGTCAACTAGCTAGCAAGTAGGAGAACCAGGATCCAAACTCGGGTCAGTTATGATTTCTAAACCCTGTCAACCACTGAAATGTATAATTATTACCTATTATCACTACTTTCATTTCATTGATGCCTCTGCTGCAGTTTATTGGTGGCAATGAGATGTTCATATTTGAAACAGAAAGGGTTCCCTGTACAAGGTGAAGTTGCCTGTCAGTTGCAGTGAAATATTTTGGTAGTTTTACAACTCTCAGTGCTGTGCATTCAAAATCAAAGTTCTGGATTAAAGGAAAGTGTTAAAAACATTGAGATATTTAGGCCTCTGGACAAGTACTCTATCTTGGGTGGCAGTACTGTGTCTTTATTTATTTGTATACCTCCCTAAAGATGGGGAAACTTGGAGATTCTTAAAATGTATCACTGTGGAATCATGATGTTTTTTGGTTTTAGTGAAATCACTTTTTTTAGTTGATAAAAATGAATGTTTTCTTGCTCTGGTGAGCGTCACATAGAATATTTCACTTTATTTGTGATTTTTCTAGACCCACAGAACAAGTAGTACATGAAACTAAGGAGAAATTTTGTGAGTAGACTGAAAATACATATATACCCACATGCTAAAATGGGGTATTTTATAAAATAATTATCTTCTAATTTTATAAGTTATAATAAATATGACATTTTGTAAATTTATTGGTAGATATTTAGTCAAAATTAAAATTTCTATCTTGCATCTGAAGCAAGAAATGGTTTCTTTATGTGGCCCTGGTCAGGTAGCTCAGTTGGTTAGAGCTGTCGTCCTGATACACCAAGTTTGCAGGTTCAGTTTCTGGTCAGGGCACATACAAAAATCAACCAGTGAATGAATGCATAAATAAGTGGAACAACAAATCAATGTTTCTCTTTCCCTCCCTCCCTTCCTCTCTCTCTGATATCAATAAATCTTTTTTTTTTAAGATGCTGTAGTGAATTGGAAAATTAAATAGGCATTTAGAAACTGCAGTAAAGATATCAGTGGAGAAGGCTGTTGAGTCCACTGGAGAGGAGGGAAAGTGCAGTAGAGACTTGAGGATCCCTCAGTTGCTGATATCCCTCATCACCTGCATTGTCCCTGGGTCACAGGAGCCAGCATAAAGAGAAGACCGTCATTCATCACACCGTTGGCGCCATTGTTCCCATCATACACTGGGGAAAATAGAATGCTAATTAGAAATATAAATGTAAGTTATGTTTCTGTTGTTCTGGATCTTACTATATTAAATGACCCTACATTGAACAGTAACTGGACCAAAGATTTCCCATCTTTAAAATAATGATCATCCCACCCCCCCAACCCACCCACTACTCACCCCCAAGAGGTGCTGGCAGGGAAATCCTCCAGTAAGAATCCTACGTGTAAATCAGCAACTAATAAGAGGTAAGCTCTCTTGCAAGCAGGAGAGTTCATGAAAATGTTTTTGAGATTCAGAAGAAGTCATTGTTGGGAGCCACTATTCTAGACAGAAGCATGTCAGAACCACTTGGCGCATGTATAGGCAGCAATCTGACATCGCCGAGCAAAGCTTTTCTCTTTCTTTTTTTTCTTCTGCCTAAAGCCTATATCAAAGAGAAAAATTTCCCTTTTTTAATTCTTCATCTAACTTCAGATATCAGGTTGTGTGAGATGTAAAGATTATGCCACACATGTATAAATTCAGTTGAGTATGTCTTGACAATGTTCATGGAAATCTAGATTGTCATAATTAGAAGAGGATTTAATATTGTCACCTCAGCCCACTTTCCCCCTCAACTGATGCTTGAATCCCTTGATCACGCCACTGTAAGTGTGTATCCGCCTGTTTAAACCCTCCAGTGATGCGGACCTTGCAACTTCGTGCATTTTCCTAAGTGTAAATTATTTACCTAAAATGTGCAAGTAAAGGTTCTTATAACATATTATCAGCTACAAATGCTTCCTAGGTTGCGGTTTATCCCTGGCCCCGGTTGGGGTCATGTGAGTGGCAGCCAGTGTCTCTCTCTCTCTCTCTCTCTCCCCCTCTCTCCCTTCCCCCTCCCCCTCTCCCTCTCCACTCTCTCTCTCTCCCCCTCCCGCTCTATCTGAAGATAAATGGAAAAATATCCTCCGGTGAGGATTTATTTATTTATTTATTTATTTTTTATCCTCACCCGAGGACATTTTTCCATTTTTTGTACAGATAGAGTGGGAGGGAGAGAGAGGAAGAGAGAGAGAGGGAAACATCGATGTGAAAGGGACACATCGAGTGGCTGCCACCCGCACGACCAACCAGGGCCAGGGACAAACTGCAACCGAGGAACATGCCCTTAGTGGGAAGCAAACCCGGGTCTCTCCGGACCGCAGGCCGACACTCCAACCGCTGAGCCAAACCGGCCAGGGCTCTGGTGAGGATTTAAAAAGAAGGAAACTTAATATTGCCCTGGCTGGATAGCACAGTTAGTTATAGTGTTGTCCTGATAATGCCATGGTTGCAGTTTGATCCCTGGTCAGGGCACATACAAAAAGCAACCAATGGCCCTGGCTGGTTTGGCTCAGCAATTAGAGTGTCGGCCCGCGGACCAGAGAGTCCTAGGTTCGGTTCCTGCTAAGGGCACATAACCTTGGTTGCGGTTTGTCCCCAGCCCCGGTTGGGGTCCTGTGAGTAGCAGCTACTCAATGTGCCTCTCTCATATCGATGTTTCTCTCTCTCTTCCTCCCTCTCATCCTCCTGCTCTGTCTGAAGATAAATGCAAAAATGTCCTCGGGTGAGGATAAAATAAAAAAAAAGCAACCAATGAATGCATAAATGAGTGGAACAACAGATTGATGTTTCTCGCACGCGCACTTTTCTCTCTCAAATCAATAAATAAAAAAATAAAATAAAAAGCACATAAAAACATTAATATCTAGTCACCTCTTTAATATACCTGAGGATTTCTTCCTAACCATCCAGCTAGTGTATTGCAATGCACCAGTCCTGGCCTAATGATGAGCATATGGGCTGTATTTGAAAATTGACTTACCTGTTTTTCTGTAGCCTAGCTACTTGACAACATCTATGCTTTCCATAAAACAAAAATGAGGGTGGGTTAGAAATACTATAACTGAATCTTGAACCAGCAGTAGCCACCGTATTGTCGAGTTTGTGTTGGGGAACGAT